GCATTTTCCCTCACTTCAACTGCCACTAGAATGTTGTTCTCACCAACTTTGTTGCTTGTTACTGGCTTGACTTTCTTCATCGGAAGCTATTTATTTTGTAATGTAACTACCAGATCTAGCCTGTCAGTCCACAAATATTTATTGCCATGGCTTACAGTTGGCAGTTTAGAAGGATTATGTTGGAAAAGAGGTGCAAATTTTGTTGCAGTAGGTTCTGTTATCATGGATTTAATTTCCTCTTCGTGCATTCAGCTATATCGTATCAGTTAGTTATGTTGCTGCATAACAAACAGCCCCAGAACTAGGTAGCTTCAAACAACAACCGTTTATTATTGCAGCTCACATATCTGTCTCTTGAGGGTTAGCTGATCTCGGTGGGTGTTGGCTGGGTGATCCTGCTAGGTTCAGCTAGACTCATTTCCATGTCTAAGGCTGGTTGAGGGTTGGCCGATCTTAGCAAGGCTCATCTGAGAGTGACTGTGTTCTATGTGTCTGCCATCCTTCTCCTGGGACCAGTGGAGTATCCTGGCACATCCTCTCCTGGTGATGGCAGAAGTGTGAGAGCATAAGTCTAGTCCGGTAAGAGCATTTCAAGACTGTACTTGTGTTAAGAAGCTAATATCCATTGCCCAAAACAAGTCACATGGCACAGCCCTGGGTGGGGATTGGCCCACAGCGGGAGGAGGGCTCTGCAGAACTAGATGGAAAGGACATACAGATGGGGAGTGGTGAAGAACTGGAGCCACTGATGCAATTCACTCTTAGTCCAACTGAGTGGCAGTGCGACCCTACCCCCTTGGCCTCGGCAGGCCCTGTTCTTCCGCCCCTTGGGCATGGCAGCCCCACCCCCTCAGCTTTGGGCAGCAGATCCAGCCCAACCCCCCTGGCACTCGTGAATGGCAGCCCCACACTCCAGAAATAAGTTGATGAAGATCTGACTCTTTGAAACCTAGGAAGCCGTGGCCCCACCCTTTGAAACCTCAGAGGCCATGACCCCACCCTTTGAGACCCTAGAAGTCATGGCCCTACCTTTTGAGACTGAGGCAGCTCTGCTTCCCATGCTCCTTGTCTCTTCAGCTTCTGCTTCCTAGTTCCATGGCCTCTCAGCTCCTCGGGCCTTTTGAGGCGGCCCGGCCTCTGCCCTGCTCAGGCAGGTGTTACAAAGGTCTTTAACGCTACTGATAAGTACCTGGAGGCATCCTCTCTGCCAGTAAGCCTCAGCTCAAAGGTGCTCAGCTGTCTTGCTCTGTGGGTCAGCAAGCCTAGCTCCACCGACAAGTGCCTGGATGCACCCCCCGCCCCCCACCAGGAGGCCTCCTGCTTGAAGGTGCTCAGCTCTCTTGCTCCGTGGGTTGGCTCCCACGCCGTCTTGCACTGTTCTCCCGGTTCTGCTGCTACCCGCCATTTCTCTGGAAAGAGTTCACGTGTGTTGTAGGTGAGATGTTGGAGCTAGTCCCTTCCCATCCCGACTCCCTAATACAGCAGTGACTGTAGGCTGAACCTCTGTACCAATGGTCACTAAGTATTAAGAACATAAACCATCTTGATCTATTTCATGAGTATGTGGCTTTGAGAATGGCTTTGCTAGACTGAGAGGACTGCTTTCCTTTACAACCTTTAATTTTGTATTTACTCCATTGCATTTCCTTTTGCTTGCCTGATGGATTAAATTTTATCACAGCAATCTAAGGAAAGGCCAAGGGATCTTGAGCATCGCACAATTCCCTGGTGATCCCGTGCTTCTTGTTCTCTGGAATGCGCCTCCTTTTCATGTTACTATGCACTGAGGCTCCGTTCCCTCTCCTCCTCACTTCTAGCCTCTGCCAGGGACAGCTCTTGCTCAGCTGCGACAGGGTGTACCTGTGGTTGACTTCGAGAAGTGAGTGGTTTCTCAGGGTCCAGGGAGGCGTTAGCAGATGGTAGCTGAGTGGAGAAAGCGTGATCTGTGCTCTCTGTCCCTAGCCCTCCCCCGAATGTGTCTTCCTTTCAGGTGATAGAGTCTTCTAGTTCCTCAACTCCTTTTGGGAGAGGTGCTAGAATCTTCTTTTGACTCTTGGTCCAGTTGCTTCTCTATAAGCTGTGCTGGGTGCCTGTTATGGATTGAACTGTATCCCCCAAAAATGTGTGTCAACTTAGCTAGGCCATGATTCCCAGTACTGTGTGTTTGTCCTCCATTTTGTGATCTGATGTAGTTTTCTTATGTGTTGTAAATCTTAACCTCTATGATGTTAATGAGGCAGAATTAGAGACAGTTATGGTAATGAGGCAGGACACAATCTACAAGATTAGGTTGCATCTTGAGTCAATCTCTTTTGAGATATAAAAGAGAGAAGTGAGTCAAGAGGCGAGGGACCTCCTACCACTAAGAAAGAAGAGCCAGGAGGAGAATGTGTCCTTTGGACCCGGGGTCCCTGTGCTGAGAAGCTCCTAGACCCAGGAAGATTGATGACACGGACCTTCCCCCATAGCAGACAGAGAGAGAAGACATTCCCTGGAGCTGACACCCTGAATTAGGACTTCTAGCCTCCTGGACTGTGAGAGAATAAATTTCTGTTGGTTAAAGCCATCCACCTGTGGTATTCCTGTTACAGCAGCACTAAATAAGATGGAGCCCCTCTGGCTGGCGAATCCCTTGCCCAGCGCAGTGTGGTCTGCTCCTTGGTTTCCCTGCCCTTCTCCCAACAGGGTGTCCTGCAGTGGAGCCCTGGGCATGTCGGTGGACGCTCCTCCCTCACGCCACCAACTCAACAGAGAACAGCCTCTAGAAGCAAAACACAAGCCAGACCTGTCTTTGTTTTACCTCGGGAAATACACTGGGGCTGGGATAATTAATTAAGTCGGTTATAAATTGGACTTGGGGGGTATTTTTTTTTTTTTTTTTTGTGAATGTGACTTTTTTCTGTGCTTGAAGGAAGTTGCTTGTAAAATAAAATGTTAATAATTGTGAACTTCAGTTTTTAGCTTCTAGGAAACCCTGGTGGCGTAGTGGTCAAGTGCTACGGCTGCTAACCAAAAGGCTGGCAGTTCAAATCCACCAGCCGCTCCTTGGAAACTCTATGGGGCAGTTCTACTCTGTCCTGTAGGGTCGCTATGAGTCAGAACCGACTTGACAACAGCAGGTTTGGTTTTTTTGGTTTTGGACCCGCCCTTCCCCGACTCCCAGCAGTTCTGGGTGATCTTTAACCCGTTGCTATGAGTTGATTCCGACCCCTAGGACTCAATAGGAGAGGGTGGAATTGTCCCATAGGGCTTCTAAGGCTGTAGGTCTTCCCAGAAACAGACCACCACATCTTTCTCCCGTAGAGCTGGTGGGTTTGAACCGCTAACATTTCGGTTAGCAGCCGAGTGCATGACCATTGTGCCACCAGGGCTCCTGAAGATCTTTAAGCACCTTTGCCTAGGGAAATGGAAGTCAAATTCGTGCATGTAAAATAATTTTATCATGCGGGTGCTCGTCTCCCCAGGCCAGTAGTGCTTCTGTAAGCATGTGGTGTGTGCGCTTAAACGTCTTCATAAAGCAGGGGGCATGTCTTTGCTAAACTCTAGCCTCATGTTAGAAAAACTGCTGTTGGGTCAGGAATGCTGACTTCAGGGGCCGCAGGCTTGTTTTTTCTTGCTGGGCGCCTGTGTGCAACCTCCTTGGGGTAATTGTTACTTGTCTTCTCCTTTCCTGTTCTCCTCTCTGCTCGCTGGGGGCTGTGCTCAGCTGTTGTGGCGACCCCATGTGACAGAGTAGGACTGCCCCATAGGGTTTCCTAGGCTGTAATCTTTACGGGAGCCGATTGTCAGGTCTTTTCTCCCGTGGAGCAGCAGGTGGGGGTCAAACTGCCAGCCTTTCAGTTAGCAGCTGAGCGCTTAACCATTGTGCCACCAGGGCTCCTCATGCTGAGCTCTTAGCTATAAAGGAATTTGGTAAGTAATACGTGACACAGCTTAGACTCCTCGAAGAAGGTGCATTCCGTGACAGCGGTGCTTCTGTCTGTTCATCTGTTGCTTTGTCGCTACCTCCAGGCTTGTGGTGATCACTGAAAGCCCAGGCAGGCCGAGGCACAGGGGAGCCCTTTTTCCTGGACGGGTCCTCAGTCCATTTTAGCAGGGGGGCGGCTTTGCCTGCCTGTGAGGTTTCCCAGAGGGCTGAGTAAAGTCTCTGGAAGTCGGATGTTGTGGTTGTTATTAGCTGCTGTCAGGTCAGCCCCAACTCATAGTAACCCCATGCACAGCGGACAGAAACCCTGCCTGCTCCTGAGCGGTTTCAGATCAGACTGTTGTGATCAGAGGATCTCCACTGGCTGATTTTTGGAAGTAGATCACCAGGCCTTTCTTCCTAGTTTGTCTAGAAGCTCCACTGAAACCTGTTCAGCATCACAGCAACACCCAAGCCTCCACAGACACAGGTGGGGGTCGTGCACGAGGCGCGTTGATCAGGATGTCTAGGTCAGGTTTAAGGCTTAGGTGGGGGTACAGGGAAGACAGAAGAGGACAAAAGATGGAGTGAGCAGGAAAAATGGGAAGTAAAGAACTGTGCACAGGGAGAAAAGGGAGACCTACTGACCACTGCCTTAGATCCTTGGTCCCGGGACCCTGGTTACCAGCCATTTGCTCCTTTCTTATCTTCAAATTGATTTAACTTGTACTGTGAATTTATGTTTGACTAGATACATCACTTGTTTAAAAAAGCAGAAGGTATAAATTCTCCCTCCCATCCCATTCCCCACCCACCCAGCCTCCTGAGCTGCTCAGGGAGCCATGTTTCTTTCTTTTATGTTTCTTTCCAGAGTTTTCCAGGCATACTCGCTCAGGCAGTTGTAGATTCTTGCTTCATCCTTCATGTCTTTACTCATCTGTCCCTTCTCTCATATGCTTCTTATTTCTTTCCCCGTTTGTGCACTCTCAGTGATCCTTTGTTGGAGCTTATTTTGAGAACTACCAGTGGACATTTGTTGGACGTAACACCTGGTGCCCTGAGCAGGTTCACATGTCTGCCTGTCTTTTTCCCATAGATGAAGTGGAAAGTGAGAAATGGTTCCTGTCTACAGACTTTCCTTCAACAACAATCAAGACAGAGCCGATTACAGACGAGCCACCTCCAGGACTTGTCCCCTCTGTCACGCTGACCATCACAGCCATCTCCACCCCTTTGGAAAAGGAGGAGCCCCCTTTGGAAATGAATACTGGGGTATACTCAATTTTCTTCCATATGAACAGGTTGGATCTAAAGATAGGGATTCTTGTTCTACAATAAGAGCATTTAATCTTTCTGGAGCCAGTGGCTGTCTAGGTTTATCTCTTTATATATATATCTCTATATGGAGTCCCTGGGTGGTGCAAATGGTTAACATGCTCAGCTACTCACTGAAAGGTTGGAGGTTTGAGTCCATGTGTAGAGGTGCCTCGGAAGAAAGACCCGGTGATCTACTTCCGGAAAACCAACCTCTGAAAACCCTGTGCAGCACAGATCTACTCTGACACACATGGGGTCACCATGAGTTGGAGTCAACTGTTGATAGCTCTCTCTCTGTCTCAAGAGAATGTTGATTTCTTTCTACATTTATTACATCACTTCCTTTACAGGCACTGCAAAGTTGATAGCAAAGGAGATTTCATTATTTCTTTGATCAGTGTCATAAAATTAAAAGCTTAGATGAATGTCCTTGGTAAAAGAACTCCCCTGTGGGATTGATTTTTAAGCCAGTGGTAAAGGATTGGTTACAGGGAATATGCAATCGCGGCTTCTGGGCATTGTACAGAAAAGCAGCTCGTGGCTGTTGGGAATGCTAGTTCTTCTGCAGTAATTTACATTCTTCTGCAGAGCTGGGTTGCCCTTACGTAATTCAGGGCCCCCTCGCCCCACTAGCTGTTACTGTGTTACCCTTGGAAACCAAAGAAAGCTTACCATAAGGAACTCAGAAGTTCTTACTTAGTTTACACCACAGGTGTAGCTCGCTCTAGGAAGTCGCTGTGTTCTCAGAAACTTTGACGTTATATAAAAAAACGGGAAAGGCAAATCTTATCTTCCTGTATCTGTGCATATTTACCTTGGAAAGCTTACCGGAAGAAACTAGAAAGTTCTTCCTTGCTCCATTCCACGGCTACAGCAAGTAAAGTGTAGTTCCACTTCTTGGAGCGTTTGGAGGTGGCCCAGCAGAATCACACTGGCCCATCTTCTTACATGTGTTGGATACCAGACTGCGTTTCCTACATCTGGAGCCTTGGGTTATAAACAGTGACTCCATTAACGTTCTTCAAGTCAGAGTTTCTCTGACAGGAATGGTATTCTGCCTGTCCGGAAGGGGTTCACAGATCTTTGGTGCCCTCTGCACTCCACTCTTGTAGAAGATGAAGGGTTGTAGACAGAAGATTTCTACAATTGCCCGCTAGGGTTCCTTTCCCTATGGGTCTCTCTGTTGGGCTGGCCTCCTGGGGTGTGTGTCAGTCTCCTTGCTCCACAAGACTTAAGCCAGTTGCCGTCGAGTCGACTCTGACTCCGACTCATAGCATCCGCGTGTGTCAGGAGAGCTGTGCTCCACAGGGTTTTCGGTGGCTGGTTTTTCAGAAGTAGATCTCCAGGCCCTTCTTCCGAGGTGCCTCTGGGCGATCTCAAACCCAACCTTTCAATGAGCAGCTGCGTGTGTTAACTGTTTACCTCACCCACAAGACTTTAGTTTCCTTTATTTTTAAGTATGTGACTAACACAGGTTAGGGCCATGGCTTTGTGCCACCTGCTTATGGGCCAGATACTTTTCTCCTTCCCCTACCAGGTAGGTCAGGGTGAGGTGTCATCAGTCATTAGAAAGCCAGAGGAGATGGGGCTTGGTGCACCCAGCCCTAGTGCAGGAAGAACTGCTAGTGGCCCAGTAACCTTTTACAAAATTTACCAGAAGATTCCTGGATAAAATGCCCTTATATCAGCATAAAAACAATAGTTAGGGGCACTGATAAGTTAGCCTTGGGTTTTTCATTTTAGGGTTTGTAGGGTTCTGTTATTGAAAGGTTTGTAGTTCGAGTCCCCTCACAAGCACCTCAGAAGAAAGGCTTGGTGATCTACTTCTAAAAAATCCGCCATTGAAAACCTTATGGAGCACAGTTCTCCTCTGACACGCCTGGGGTCACCATGAGTCGGAGTTGACTTGATGGCAACTGGTTAAGTTTCCATCAGTGGTACTGTGGAGCTTGGGGACTAGAGGAGGGTGACAGACTGAGGTGACTTCCCATCCAGGAAGCAGCCTGCCTCAGCCACACGGCAGTGGGCTCCAGAGAAGCAGGGGTTCAGAGAGTAAGACACAGATGACCCAAGAGCTCTTCCACGGGTTTCCTCCATGTTGTGATTTCTGTTAACCCTTTGGTGACCCAATTATTTTCTGCTTTGAATTTTTTGTTGGTACCATGTGTTTTCATTAATGGAAGCATGCCGAATCATTGAGTGTGTCTGAACTTTCGGTAGGTAGTACAGATTTTTTTTCTTTGTCCCTTCCCACAAGCCTATCCTAATTATTATAGTGGTACATAGGAAGTACCACTAATTATACCCCAGAGTCCCCACCAGGGTCTGTTGGTACATATGTGTAATAAATAAAAATTTTCAAAATTTTAATTTTTCCTACCAAAAATTTGGACACCTCATACATACCCTGTAAAAACAGTAATTTGCAGCACACGCCGGCTTCTTCAGTTTTAAATAGTCATAGAGGTCCCTGCCTTGCGGCAGCATGCACTGTCAGTGGGACAGCAGCTTCCCAACAAATCCCAGAGGCTGAAAAAGTTCATGGTCCCTGGTATGTACTGCTGGGCACAGAAGGGCTGAAAGTCGTGTTTGAAATTCTTTCTTCAGGTCGACTCCTCGTGCCAGACGGTTATTCCCGAGATTAAGCTGGAGCCTCATGAAGTCGATCAGTTCCTCAACTTCTCTTCTAAAGAAGGTCGGTCTGTTTTCTCAGCTTCCCTTCTGGTTGTCAGATGGACCTGCTCAATCTGAAGAGCCAGGGATTCAGTTTACACCACAGGTGTAGATTTCTTTAGGAAGCGTCTCTGTTCTTAAAAACCTTGACGTTAAATAAAACTTTGGAAAGGTCAGTCTTATGTCCCTGTGTCTGCACATGTTAAATTTCCAGCTGAGTCTTTACTTTTACTTCTGTTGTTGTTGTTTTCCTTGCTGCAAGTCGACCCTGACTCATGTGGCCCCCATGCATAACGGAGAAAATGCTGCGCGGTCCTGCGCCATCCCCGTGATCGGTCGTGGGTCAAACTGTTGTGATCCATAGGGTTTTCAGTGGCTGCTTTTCAGTGGGAGATTGCCAGGCCATTCTTCCGAGGCACCTGTGGGTGGACTTGGACTACCAACCTTTTGGTTAGCAGCTGAGTACGCTAACCGTTTGCTGTACCACCCAGGGACTCCGTTATCAGTAAAGAAGGGTCGACTGAAAATAATTGCTGATACGGACTAGAGTCCGGGTTGGGACAGTGTCCTTTGCGCTGGGTGATAAGACGTTAGGGCCTTTCAGCCTTGTACGCGGCTTGCAAGTCGTTGCAAGTTGTTCTTCCACCCCGATGATTCTTGTGGTTGATGTGCCAAATGTGTCTTGCTCTTTTATGTTGCAATTGCTTCAGAGAGTGTCCTAACCGCAGCAGTGTATCCCTTGGTGACTTCAGCATCCAGGGTCACTGGAGGAGAAGTGCTTCAAGGGTCAAGCAGCTGGCGGGCCTCCCTGTTATTGTGGATAAACAGAGATAAGGAAATGCAGTCTCCTTGAATGCATCGGAGCTTCTCGGCACAGCCGCCTGTTGTGTGCAGCCCTTCCAGCAACCCAAGAGCGGCATGTCAGACAATATTTAGCAATCTGATACTGAGGTCCCTGTGGACATGTCAGTGGCCTTAATCGGCAGGAAAGAGGAGATTCGTATCTGCTTCACTTTTCCTGCCACGCCATTTCCCTCTGCCGTGGGGCACCCTCCGTTTGGGAAGGAGAAAGGGATTAGGATGATTTGAGTGCCAAGTACTGTTGGCTACGATGCCGCAACGCTTCACGGCAGACCCTGAGTCCCTAACTGGCTTGTCGGCTTCTTGTTTCTTCATCACGCGATGTGCCGCAGGCGCCCTTGGCCTTGGGAAACTGTGGTAAAAACTGTTAGGACTCCCTTACCAGCCCCACACTACGTATTTAAGGCACATACTTGCCCTCTGTAGCTGCCTGGAACTGTTGGCAGGACCGTTGGGCACAGAGCTGCATGGGGTTATTTTGGAATAGCCCCTAGATGTAACAGTGCCCCTAAGGAGCCCTTGTGGCGTGACGGTTAAGCGCTCGGCTGCTAACCCAAAGGTGGGCAGTTCAAACCCACCCAGCCTCTCGGTGAGAGAAAGACCTGGTGATCTGCTCCCGTGAAGACGACAGACTAGTAAACCCTACAGGGCAGATCTCCTCCTTATGGAGAAAGAGAAAGCGAGGGCTAAAATGAGAGAAAGGGAGTGAGAGACGTTAAGAGAAGAAAGAAGAACAACCGTGTGCTGTGGGCGGGGAGGGCTGCCAGGGAGGGCCACCACCTGTGATGCGAGAGCTGTCTGTCTGTACCCTCTGCTCACCCCCAGAGGCAAATATGGGGGGTCGTTTTCCTTAGGTCACTACAGCTAAACACTGGTTGCTGTTGAGTCAGCTCCAGCTTATGGCAACCTCCCGTGTGGCAGAGTAGAGCTGTGCTCCGTAGGGTTTTCAATGGCTGATTTCTCAGAAGTAGATCACCAGGACTTTCTTCCCAGACACCTCTGGGTGGACTCAAACCTTCAACCTTTTCATTACTTGAGTGCCAAAACGTTTGCTCCACCCGGGGACTCCCTTAGGCCAGCCGTTGCTTGTTGTTAGAAGGCCCCTCCCGACACCAGTGCCTTTGGTGGCCTCTGCTGGAGGAGGAGATGTGGAAGTGAAGTACTGAGGCCGGACACGGCCTCCAGCATGAGCTGCCTCCATGGGAGTGCCCCTCGCTGGGCAGACCGAGCTGTTATAAACCACTGAGGCCCCAGCCCAGTGCAGGTTGGCGTCGAGGGCTCTGTGGGCTGGGGACCCAGAGGGGCTGGGGACCCAGAGGGGCCGGGGTGAGGGTCAGGAACCATGGCCAGCTTTCACAAGGCATTGCAGCTCAGCAGAAAGGCTGCTGTCCCGAGGAAGCAGGGTGGGACCCCAGAGCTCTTGTTCCAGGTTGAGCGGATTTGGGCTCTACTTTGGAGGACATCCCTGCTGCCGTGGGGTTCCTGATGGAGGCTGGCAGGGTGGGCTGTGCCTGTGTAGGTACAGGGGAGAAGACCCTCCTCCACGCCGCCGTTTATCTTCCCAGTGCCCACTCCCCCATCTGAAGAGGACTGGGCATTTCTTTTTTTTTTTTAAGGAAATATATTTATTGTGATCATTTTCTCATTCTGAATTACAACGTACAATTCTTTTAATTTTTTTATTGTAGTATAAATGAAGTTTACATTTCAAGTTAGTCTCCCATACAAAAATTTATACATACATTGTTATGTGACCCTAATTGCTCACGCCGTACAGAGACAGCACGCTCCTCCTTTCCACCCCTGATTCCCCATGTCCATTAAACCAGCTCCTGACCCTCTCTGCCTTCCCATCTCACCTCTGGACAGAAGCTGCCCGTTTAGTCTCTTGTATCTACTTGAGCTAAGAGGCACGCTCCTCACGAGTACCACTTTATGTCCCACAGTCCAGTCCAATCCCTGTCCGAAGAGTTGGCCTTGGAAATTGTTTTACTTCTGGGCTGATAGAGAATCCGGGGTCCATGCTTTCCGGGGTACCTCTGGTCTTCTTACTAGAATTTGAGTTCTGCAGCCCATCTTTCTGCTGCTCCATCAGGGACTCTGTGTTATGTTCCCTGTCAGGGTGGTCATTGGTGGTAGCTGGGCACCATCTAGTTCTTCTGGTCTCAGGCTCATGAAGCCTCTGATTTATGTGGCTCTTTCTGTCTCTTGGGCTAATACTTTCCTTGTGTCTTTGGTGTTCTTCATTCTCCTTTACTCCACGTGGGTGGGACCAATTGATGCATCTTAGATGGCTGCTTGCAAACTTTTAAGACTGGACTGGGCGTTTCTGAGTGAACAACGCCTGGCCCCCCGCCTGGCCCCCGCCATGTTCCTGCAGACCCCGAGGAGTTGTCCTCAGGGCTCCAGGGCTGCTATTTCTAAAGACTTTCAAAAGAGAACAGAATCCATTAACAGAGAAGATGCTTGCCAGCATCTGTCAGCATCTCCCTATGCTCCCCCCTTCTCCTGCCCTGCCGAGCACATTTCATTGGTTTCTTGCACATTCTTCTGGGGTTTCTTTACGCAGATACCAGCATAAAGTCTGTACGCTGTTTGTCTCCCTTTTCTTACAGGAGGAGGACAGCTTTGTACACGGCTCTGCGCCGTGATCCACCCTCGCCTCCACTTCACTTACATTATTGCCAGATCTTGGCATTTACCTTTATTGTTATCCCTAAAGAAAGGATTACTGTCCATGTTGGGCAGTACTGCTGTCTGTATCAGCTCATGCAGGTTTCTCGCTCTTTGAGTCCGCTCTCCCGAGTTCCGCTGTACCCCTGTTAACAGTTTAGTGGTAGAATTCTCACCTTCCCTGAGGGAGATCCGGGTCCGATTCCTGGCCAGTGCACCTCCTGCACAGCCACCATCCGGCTGTCATTGGAGGCATGTGTGTCGCTATGATGCTGAACAGATTTCACTGGAGCTTCCAGAGTCAGACGGACTAGGAAGAAAGGCCTGGTAATCTACTTTTGAAACCCTACAGGTCACAAAGTCCAATCCACAACTGATCATGGGGCTGGTGCAGGGCTGGGCAGCGTTTTGCTCCGTTGTGCATGGGGTCGCCATGTGTCGGGGGCCGGGCAGCCCACTCGACAGCAGCTAACAACAACGTGGTGTCTCTGCGTTGCTGTTTCATGGACGGATCCATTTTTCTTTTCTCCAGCCTCTGTGGACCATTTGCACCTACCACCAACCCCTCCCAGCAGCCACAGCAGCGACTCAGAGGGCAGCCTGAGCCCCAACCCGCGCCTGCACCCCTTCAGCCTGCCGCAGACCCCCAGCCCCGCCCGGGCCGGGGCGCGGGCTCCCTCCTCCCTCTCCAGCTCGCCCCTCCTCACTGCCCCACACGTGAGTATTCGGCTGGCGCTTCTGGACCTGCGCCCTCTCCGCTCTGTCACGTGGAGCATCCCGGGTGGGCTGATTTTTACTCCTGTAAGAATCTTTCTGCTCCATTGCACATTGTGAAAACTGCCGATAGTCTCCCCATGCTAACGCAGTTCTCCGCCTTTTCAACTGCACGCCTCCAATTTTTAATCATAGGCTTATTTTACACAGCTGTCAGTCTGAGGAATAAAACTTCCACATTTTGTTATTTTTCTCCTCTAAATTATAAACATTTGCCATTGCTTTAGGTGGTCCTTATGACCTGTAATAGAAAATAACATTTATTTTTCAAATAAGCAATCTGATGAATTTGAACATCTGATCTAAAACACTTTGATGCCTAAAAACTCAAGAAATTTAGTTTCCCTTCTTTCTGCCTGTGGTACCAGCCTTAACCCACGGGCTCAGGTAAGATGTTACCCGCCATCATTGGTCCCTCATGTGTATAAGGACACCACTTCCCAAATATGACATAGGAATAGAGAATTCACTTTTTCTTGTTCTGAAGAGCAAATTGATTGCTATGATGTCTTAAAAATGATTACATTAGAATTGACTTTACTGAATTTGCAATATCATAAAGAGCAAAATTAAATGAAATGAGACGTTTAAGAATTCTATAAAAACTACGTGTTAATGAAATGATTTTGAAAATGTGAATTCAGTCTGTCCCAGAAAGTTCTAGAACAGCGGTCACATTGTTACATACCACCATCATCAAGGACAAGGGAATTTGCTTTTTTCACCTTCCTTACCTTCTCACCTCTAACCTGACTCCTCACCCCGTGGATTGCTGTGACAGCTTTCATTCCGTGTGTCTGTGTGGGCTACCACAGTCAGTCCACTCCCACGCTGCTTACGGAGTGAGTCTTCCAGGTCATACCCTTGCTCCACAATCCTGCTGTCTATCCTGTTACCTGCTGGCATCCAGCCCTCATATTCCACTGCACGCGTGTGCCCGGACCCTCTGCTGCTTCAAGGACTCCTTCCCATCCAGGGCAGAGGGGTGCCTTTAATGACTTGTCACAGCACCGCCCTCAGCTTCCACTGCCCTCTGCTCTCTTAATGTAAATCATCCCCTTTCTTTCAAGAGTCCCAATTCAAGTGTTACCTGCTACCATAAGCCTCCCCTTACCACGCAGACTCAGCTAAGGGTTTTCTTTCTTGAGATTTCCCGTGTACCTTGAGTTAAGATTACGCAGGTCAGCCTATAATAGCTCTCACCCTTTCACGCGTATCAGTTCAGTCTCGGGTCTCGATCATAAGCAGCTGGGGAGTCGGGATGGTTTTGATTCCTCCATGACAGCATGCAGCTAAGGTGCAGTAAAGGAGCCCTGGGGTGCAGTGGTTAAAGCGCTCGGCTGGCAACCAAAAGGTTAGCGGTTCAAACCCACCAGCTGCTCTTCAGGAGAAAGACGTAGCAGTCTCCTTCCCAAAAGATTGTGGTTAGACGTCGTCGGTCGGTTCCAACTCACAGCGACCCCGTGTACAACAGAATGAAACACTGCCGGGTCCTGCTCCACCCTCACGATTGTTGCTGTGTTTGAGCCCATTGTTGCAGCCACGGTGTCAATCCATCTCCTTAAGGGTCTTTCTCTTTTTCAGTGACCCTCTGCTTTACTAAGCATGATGTCCTTCTCCAGGGACTGGTCCCTCCTGATAACATGTCCAAAGTACATGAGACAAAGTCTCACCATCCTTGCTTCCAGGGAGCACTCTGGCTTGTACTTCTTCCGAGAGAGATTTGTTCATTCTTCTGGCAGCCCATGGTGTATTCAGTATTCTTCACCAACACCATAATCCGTAAAGATTACAATCTTGGAAACGCTATGAGGACAGTTCTGTTCTGCCTGGTAGGGTTGCTGTGAGCTGGCATCGACTTGACGGCTGCAGGTTTGGTTGTTCGGTTAGTACAATGAATTAGGTAGTCAGGTTGTTTGACTTACGATAAACCTTCATTCTATGATGAGTTAATGAGATGAGCCACAGTTCTGGTTTCCACTGCTGGATGAACAGTCACGGGCTGCCAGGAAGCCAGAGACCCGCGTGGAAAGGGCCTGCAGGTGGGACCTGGGGGCCCTGGTCTTTAGCTGTAAGTGGAGGCGACTCTCCGTGTGTAGAGAGCACCTCACAAAACTGCGTTTTCAGATGGGAACAACAAAACCATTCCATAAAGCAGCTGCCAGAGAATCCTCCCCTACTCCGAGGTCAGGAAGCCTCCAGGGAGGTGGGAAATGACTGAATTTCTACCTTTGACATTTTAGCTGCCGGGGCCCTTTCTGGGAAGTAACGGATGGAGGATGTTACCCTTGGTCCCGGAGTGCTGACACTCACATGAGAGGGCTTTTCCATCTCTGCTTCCACTTCAGAGCTCCCGTTTCTCCCCGAAAGCAGATGGGGCGCCCTTGTCTCTGAGCCATCTGCTGGACTGTGATGTATTCCAGTCACCCGTCGGGGGTTGTTCTTCATATGCCCCGTTGGTCCCCGCTGACCCTCTTCTCCTTGGTCTGCACAGAAACTGCAGGGGTCAGGCCCGCTGGTCCTGACGGAGGAGGAGAAGCGGACCCTGATCGCCGAGGGCTACCCCATCCCCACCAAACTGCCCCTAACCAAACCAGAGGAGAAGGCCCTGAAGAAAATCCGGAGGAAAATCAAGAATAAGGTGAGTCCTTCAGGTCTAGGCTCCGCTGTGAGCTGAGTGGGGCCCACATCCCGCCCTGATCCTTCTCACTGACCAACACTGGCCGGGCAGGAGCCCAGGCCACGCAGAGCCCTTCCCGGCCTGCCACTGTCTCCCTCCAGCCCTGTCCATCTGTCCATCCACTCTAGGCCAGTGAACTCCAAAATCGGGTATGTACCTTCCATGGAAGGAGCCCTGGTGGCCCAATGGTTCAGCACCTGGCTGCTAACAGAAAGACTGGCGGTTCAAACCCGCCAGCCACTCTGCAGGAGAAAAACCTGACGGTCTGCTCTGCTGGAGGTTATAGCCAAGAAAACCCCCACGGGGCAGTTCTGCTCTGTCACCTGGGGTCGCTATGAGTCGTCAACTCCACAGCACACAACAGCAAGGACAACGCTACTCCGTGGAGCCGCGGGTGCTCCACTAGGGGCTGAGAGGAAGATATTTAGAGCTTCTGTTTCTGTTCAGTTTTTACAGTCTCAGCCTTTTAAATTGTTTTCTGACTGTACACAGTATTTTCGTGTAGTAAGCAGGTATATGATTTAATAAGGAAAAAGTACATTGGGAGTGCTTGCTTCATTTTGTTTTTCTTGATAGGGGTTTGTGGTGAAGAAAAAAATTCTGTAGACCACTGTTCCGTACGTGGGCTCAGCAGTCTCCTACCTGAGCCCTCTGCAGTGCTGGCAGGCCGGTGAGGCCTGTGGGGCCTGTGTGGCCGTGGTGTGGCAGAGGCCCAGGCCATGGAGGAGGGAGGCTGCAGAAAGGGGAAGAAGTAAAGAGCCAGTTACACAGTAACCATCACCGTGTGCAGAAGCGGCAGGGGGTTAACATAGGACCGCACCCACTCGTCTTGTAAACCATTGGTTCTCATTCCCTGCAGTAGTTCTGATCCGCGAACACCAGATTAGCAACTAATGAGCTAGCCTTGGCTGACCTCAGCTGGGCTTGTTGGCCGTTACGCACATGCCCGTGAACCTTCCGGGTTTTAGTGATGGGGAACTCGCGAAAAAGGAATCGGCGAATAATGAGAATGGATGGGATACAGCCTAGCTAGCTGAAGTTGGGAAATAATTTACCTGAGGCCATACAGACCTGCCCTCTCCACAGGGGGCCCACTTACAGGTAGTCCCCGACTTACAAATAATCGCTGACTTACAAATCGGTTCTGACAGAAGCTACCTTTTTTTTTAGTTTTCATTATTATTGCCTTTTATTATCAGTGTCTTTATAAATCCGATCTTTGAACATCTGTGAATGAACGTCTGAGAATGGTAACATCAGCAAATTACATGCTGCAGCATTGTATGTAGTACAGGTTACTAAGGATAAGCTGTAAAAAAAAAAAACAAAAAACAAAAAAACTACTGTGTGGTTCGTGGTAACTCAGCTGTGTCATGAATTGGAGACTGCCTGTATAGTGAAGTTGGTGAGGGCATAGGCAAGCTGAAGCCATGGGCACAGAATTGGGGATTAGTAGATGAGCTGCAGGGTAAAGAAATGGGGCATGCCGCAAAAGTGAGCGGGGCACCAGTGATTTCTGAGCTAACAGCCTCTCATCTCCCTTTTACACGTAACTGGTTTACTTACATAGCTGCAAACTAATCCTTCAGTTTATTCCCCTTCTGCCTCAGATTTCTGCCCAGGAGAGCAGGAGAAAGAAGAAGGAATACATGGACAGCTTGGAGAAAAAGTAAGCTTCTTGCCAAACTGGTTGGGTTTCTTGGGCAACATGTAGAGAGATGAGACTGTGGTGAGAATCTGCTTTCCCCAGCAGTTCTGCGCCTTTCTGGACCCCTTAGCGCCCATTGGGTTATCAGCTGTGCTTGCCTGCCCCCTGGTGGTTGTTTGGAGAGAACGCTTGTGAGTGTGGCAAGAAATAACAGTCGTTCTAGATGTTTGTACCACACTTTCCCAGCCAACATCACTGAGGCTTCCTTTCAAACAAGGACAAATATTAACACCCACACCCATTCCTGGGGCTCCCTAGAAGAGAGGCGCTGTTTCAGCTGAAAGGAGCAGCACTATAAATTGGTTTCCGTTAGCCACACTCTTCCCACACCCAACAGGGAATGAATGAAATGCGTGAGGTTAGTGTTCTTTATTTTCTGTCCGCTATAAATCATACAGGAGCTCTGGTGGCACAGTGGTTAAGAGCTTGGCTGTTAACCAGAAGGTCAGCGGTTCGAATCCACCAGCTGCTCCTTGGAAACCCTATGGGGCAATTCTATTCTATCCCATAGGGTCATTATGAGTCAGAATTGATTCAACGGCAGTAGGTTTGGTTTTTTGGTGTAAGTCATACTAGGAGCCCCGGTGGCACAGTGGTTAAGAGCTCAGCTGTTAGCCAAAAGGTCGGCAGTTCAAATCCACCAGCCACTCCCTGGAAACCCTATGGGGCAATTCTGCTCTGTCCTGTAGGGGTGCTATGAGTCAGAATCGACTCAATGCCGATGGGTATAAGTCATACTGGAGTTCCTGGGTGGTGTAAATGGTTAATGCATTTAGCTGCTAACCAAAAGGTTGGAGGTTCGAGTCCATCCAGAGGCTCCTTGGAAGAAAGGCCTGGCAATCTACTTCTTTAGCCATTAAAAACCCTGTGGAGAGCCATTCTACTCTGCAAACATGGGATCACCGTGAGTCTGAATTGACTCAGCCACATCTGGTTTGGTTTTTAGTTTTGCAGTAGCCCTTGAAGAGACTCTTTATTGTCCTGAAAAGCCTGGAGTATCAGATGGGATGTTAGCAAAATGTAAATTCAGCGCAATTTTGCACTAGTCCTAGAAAATCATTTTCTAGCTGACAAACTAATATGATTTGAAGGTGAGAATTAGGCCCAGAGATGACCCTTCCTTCAGGTGTATCTGGGGAAAGGAGGGGACAGTGGGTCCCGGCTGGCTCTCCGTCTCACCCAGGTTAGGTGGTGCTCATGTAGCGTTAGGCAGCTCCACGCTGCTCCGTCCTTCTCTGCAGGCATCCGGGGCCCAGAGGTTTCTGTGAACATCTCTTCAGTGACTCCATGGGACATGCAGGCTCGGTACCTGGTTCCCTGTCTTGAGATCCCAGGTTCTTGTCCTAGATCCCCCTTTCCCTTCCCCCACGCCCCATGTCTCCTTATCAGCGAGCCCTGTAGTATAGAGGAGATGTGTGAGGGGTGTCAGCTGAAAGGAAGCACATGTGTGACAGCCTAGAAGAGGTGTGCATTTTGTGCCTTCCCTGTTCTTTGTCCACTTTTCAGGTACTTGATACTCAGTTCTCTTTTTTTTGGTCTCCTCACCCTTCTCCCCACCTCAGGTGGGCCAGGCTGTGTCCCTCCTCCCTGGAGTCGCCGATCCCCTCTGCTTTCCCTGGTCCCCACCACCTCCAGCCCAGCTCCTGGCCCGGCCTCTGCTCTGCCGATAGTAGCTGGTTTTCTTCTTTCTCTCTCCTCTGTAGGGTGGAGTCTTGTTCAACTGAGAACTTGGAGCTTCGGAAGAAGGTGGAGGTTCTGGAGAATACCAACAGGTACGTGGAGCTGGAGTGAGAGGTGACTCTGCAAGGTGGGGAAAGAGGGGCCAAAGATGGAGGAAAGTGGGGAGACCACATGGGGAGTGCAGCTGTGCCTGGCGCTCAGGGTGCCTCTGCTCCACTCAGCTGTCCTGCTACATACGCACACGGGCTGCATATGTACACACACATGCACACACACTAGCATATACACGTGGATGCATACAGCACATGCGTGCATTACATGCACATATACACATGTATGCACACACACGGCACACATGCACATATGCACATGTACATACACATGGATGTACACGTGCACACACGAGCACATAACATGAACGGACACACACCCATGTACATGTGCACGTACACGTGTACGCACATTCACACACATGCACTAACGCACACACCCACATGCATGTACAATGCACACGCTCACACCCACATGCTCTTTACGTCCTCTGTAAGCTATAGGGTAGGTGGAGAGGCTGATCCTCACAGGGACGATTACGCGGGTGAAGGGAAAGACCTAGAGGAGAGCAGGCCAGCAGTCAGCCTGCTTCTCCTGAAAATGACATCAGACTTCGAGGTGGGCACGGAGGCACTGGCCACTTCAGCATCCCCCAATCTTAGCAAGAAATGTTTATTAATGAAAACTAAGAAAATCGTGTTTCTTTTTTTAATTTCAACCCATTCTGAAGAATAACCGTGGGGCAGAGTGAGTGCATGAGTTCCTCTAGAACGTTCTGTGTGAGCCACGGTTCTCAGCACTTACAGATACTGACTCATTAGCCTTCCAGTAGCCCATGAGGTGGTTCTCTTACTATGCCCATGATAGAGAGGAGGAACGCACTCAGAGAGGCTAGGTGGCTTACCCAAGGTCACACAGCAAGTGCTAACACTGGGATTTGAACCAAGCAGTTGGATCCGGTGCCTCAATACAGGAGCATATTGAGATTTCTCCCTGGGAGGTACGCAAGGGAAAGGGGTTGAGGTATAGGGTGAGGAGACCAGCTCTTGGTGAGTTTCAGCCAGAGCCCGTGTGTTTGTGTGTGTACACATGCGTAGGTATGCTTCGAAGATTAAAGGGAATCCTGTAGAGATCTCAGAAGTATAGAGCTAGTCAACCAAGCAGAGAAGAATATTAATTAGTCATGTTCAGGTTTAACATCAATTCCTAATCCAGTTGGCGTGCTGTTTGCTGAGAACATTACATTTGACTGCCGTTTGCTGAAATCTCCTCAGGGAGAACGGCCATCCGTGGGTACGTGGGACACTGTGTGCCCACGGACTGTCCCCCAGCCATTCCGGGAGGGTGTACCCACTGCTGCAGGGCGTGGTTGGCACCAGTTCTCCTGAGGTCATGGTGGAGGATCAACTCTGACTTACAGTGACCCCGTGTATCACAGAACAAAATACTGCCTGGTCCTGTACCGTCTTCACGGTTATCGGTACGACTCCATTGTTGTGGTCTTGTATATTTCGAGTGCTATCTCAGACTTCAGCACTGTATCAGACAGTGTTCTGTTGGGATCCATAGAGTTTTCATTGGCTAATTTTTGGAAGTAGATCACCAGACCTTTCTTCCTAGTCTGTCTTGGTCTGGAAGGTCCACTGAAACCTGTCCACCACGGGTGACCCTGCTGGTATTCGGAATACTGGTGGCATAGCTTCCAGCATCACAGCAACATGCAAGCCACCACAGAAGACAGACTGACAGGTGGGGGTGAGGTCAAGAAGATGTTCACACACATTCTAGACTTCTGGTTTCAATACCCGCCCCTGGCCCTTCATCTTCTGAGGCTTCCTCCCTTCTGGTTTCTGCCTTCCCTGGCCTCGGAGGGGATTCTGGAGTCTTCTCTGGTCCTCCCGACTGACTGCCAGGCCTGAGTCTGCCGTCGTCTCTTCGGCATCCTGAGCAGATTGGAGCTCCAGCGCCGACCAGCACTGGCCACTGGGTAGGGGCCTCACCGTCATGAGCAGGGCAGACCCCAGCCATGAGTAGGCGATCAGGGCACAAGGAATCTGTCAGTGATGACCCTGGGGTTTGTTTCCAGGGTGGGTCTTATCTTGGGCTCCAGGCGTCACGCCTCCTCTCTGCCACACAAGGGCAGCAGAGGCACAGTCAGTCTTTGGACTGAAGGGGTCTATGCTGCCCCCTGCTGTGAAAGGCCACCCGTCCCGGCCAGGCTGGCTTCCCTGCAACGCAGTTTTTAAACTTAAGAAAAAATCCATAAGCAATATATGCCCATTGTGAACAAAAATTAGAAAATATAGTTTAAAAAAGAAGAAAAATCATAATCCTTTCACCTAGAAGTATCTTTCCAGTTTGGAATATTTTATATGGAGTCCTTGGGGCCACAAACCATTAATGTGTTCAGCTGCTCGCTGAAAGGCTGGAGGTTCAAATTCACCCAGAGGTGCATCGGAAGAAAGGCCTGGTGATCTGAAAAACCAGCCATTGAAAACCCTGTGGAGCACATTTCTACTCTGAAGCACGTGGGGTCGCCATGAGTCAGAGTCGACTCGACAGCAACTGGTTTGTTTTTTTAAAATTTTATTATTTATACTGTACATACTTTTTTGTTAAGGGATTTTTCACTTAACAAAACATACTGGACATATTTTCATATCAACAAGTCCATCTCTGTCAGACTCTGGTGAGGAGCTGCCATGTGAGGAGCACTGACATAAAGTACATCTGGATTCCATGTAACAGTAGTCCGTGTTTTGCCAGCGGTTTGTATGTTTGTAAATAACTGCCATAGCGGTTTTTCTGTGATGTTGGTTATTATTAAATACGACTTTGTAGGAACCTATGGCATATTGGAGCTTGGGAAGATGGTCAGCACATCTCACACTCTTCCCTGAGCGTCGGTGTTGGCTTTCCTTTTGTCTTATTTACTGACTAGGGGAACCTCTTCCAAGGTATTTCACCTAGTTGAATTCTATTAAAAAAAAAATCTACCTCCAGAAGCTTGGCAGTTCGAATCCACCAGTGGCTCTGGAGGAGAAAAGACCTGGTCATCTGCTCCTATAAAGATGACAGCCTAGGAAACTCTATGGGGCAGTTCTGCTCTGTCCTGTAGGATCGCTGTGAGTTGGAATTGACTCAACGGCTCGCCACAACAACAACCTAGTTATATCAGTACCTGAGCCTTCCCTAAGGGCATTGGTTGCTGTCACTGAATGTGGCCAGGGCTAGAGCCGGCCGCCTGTTATGCAGGGCTAGTTTGTTGATAACCCCATCCCTTATACTCCCCTCCCCAAGTGCCCTGCTCTCTCCCTTGCCCGTCGGAGTCTCCACTGTGGTTCCCTACCTGTGGTTGTGTGTTCCCCTCCCATTTCTTCTCCCTCTTCAAAACTTACCTCACCTAAATCACCAAATCAATACCATTTACAATAGCCCCCAAGAAGGTAAAATACTTAGGAATAAATCTAACCAGAGTATACAATGAAAACTACAAGACACTACTGCGAGAAACCAAAAGAGACCTGCATAAGTGGAAAAACATACCTTGCTCATGAATAGGAAAACTCAACATAGTGAAAATGTCATTTCTACCCAAAGCAATCTACAGACACACTGCAATCCCGATCAAAATACCACCGGCATTTCTTAATGAGATGGAGAAACAAATCACCAACTTCATATGGAAAGGGAAGAGGCCCCGAATAAGTAAAGCATTACTCAAGAAGAAGAACAAAGTGGGAGGCCTCACACTACCTGATTTTAGAACCTATTGTACCGCCACAGTAGTCAAAACAGCCTGGTACTGGTACAACAGCAGATAAATAGACCATTGGAATAGAATCGAGAATCCAGACATGAATTCATCCACCTGCGAGCAGCTGATATTTGACAAAGGTCCAAAGTCCGTTAACTGGGGAAGAGACAATCTCTTTAACAAATGGTGCTGGCATAACTGGATATCCATCTGCAAAAAACTGAAACAAGACCCATACCTCACACCATGCACAAAAACTAACTCAAAATGGATCAAAGACTTAAATATAAAAGCAAAAACGATAAAGATCATGGAAGAAAAAATAGGGACAATGCTAGGAGCCCTGATGTGTGGCATAAACACAATGCGAACCGTAAGTAACAATGCACAAGCACCAGAAGAGAGACTAGATAAACGGGCGCTCCTAAAAATCAAACACTTAATGCTCATCAAAAGACTTCACCAAAAGAGTCAAAAGACAACCTACAGACTGGGAAGAAAATTTTGGCTACGATAAATCCGGTCAGCATCTAATCTCTAACATGTACAAGATACTGCAAAACCTCAACAACAAAAAGACAACCCAATTACAAAATGGTCAAAGGATATGAACAGGCACTTTGCCAAAGAAGATATTCAGGTGACTAACAGACACGTGAGGAAACGCAGATCAAAACTACAATGAGATAATCTCACCCCAACAAGGCTAGCGTTAATCCAAAAAACACAAAATAGTAAATGCTGGAGAGGTTGTGGAGAGTCTGGAACACTTATACACTGTTGGTGGGAATGTAAAATGGTACAACCACTTTGGAAATCGATTTGGCACTTCCTTAAAAAGCTAGACATAGACGTACCATACGATCCAGCTATCCCGCTCCTTGGAATATATCCTAGAGAAGTAAGAGCTGTCACATGAATAGATAGATGCACACCATGGTCATTGTAGCACTGTTCACAATAGCAAAACGATGGAAACAACCTAGATGCCCATCAGCAGAAGAATGGATAAACAAATTATGGTATAGCCACACAATGGAATACTACACAATGATAAAGAACAACAGTGAAGCCGTGAAACATAACTTGGAGGAAGCTGGAGGTCATTATGCTGAGTGAATTCAGTCAGTCACAGAAGGACAAATATTGTATAAGACCACAATTATAAGAAAAGGTTTAAACACAGAAGAAAACATTCTTTGATGGTTATGAGGGTGAGGAGGAAGGGTGAGGGTTATTTACTAACTAGATAGTAGATAAGAAATCAGGTGAAGGAAAGGATAG